TGCACTAAACTAAAGTCAAATGGATTAAAGATCTAAACATTAAAAAAGAAACATTAAAACTACTTGAGCAAATGTAAGTAGAAATCTATGTCTTTCCATCACAGAAAGAATGACTATCATAAAAAAATCAACTATTAACAAATGCTGGAGAAGCTGTGGGGGAAAAGGAACTCTATTCCACTGTTGGTGGAAATGTAGACTGGTACAACCACTATGGATATCAATGTGGAGGCTCCTCAAAAGACAATTAAAAGTCCCATTCAACCCAGCTATTCCCTTTCTGTATATTTTTTCAAAAGAACTGAAAAGATCATACCACAGTGATATATGTGCATCCATGTTTATAGCAGTACAATTTGCCATAGCCAAATTTAGGAAACAATCAAAATGTCCATCACCTAAGGAATGGATAAAAAAGACGTGAAATTTTTATACGATGAAGTATTACTTAGCTGTAAAGAATGGTAAACTTGAGGTTTACAGAGGTAAATGGATTCAACCAGAGGCAATAATCATACGTGAAATAAATCAGACTCACATATATAAATATATTGTCTCAGTAGTGTAAGAACCTGAAAGAGTAAAAAAATACCTGAAAGGTACACTAGATACAGTAAAATGGGGGGGGGGACAACATAAAGAATGAACAATTGAGGGAAAGGAGAAAGGTTAGGGGAAAAAGGGGAAAAATCATGCAAATATATATACATGATAACTAAGATGACTGAATGATTAATGTCTTTCAGTTTTCAGAAGGTAATAGTTAATGTTTAGATTTTTACTTTGACCAATTTCATATGCTAATATCTATAATCTGAGCAACTACATTGAAGACAGCAATGTGTAATATAATAACCACTGTGAAATACCTTTCATCTTTTGTTTTTGCTTTCATTTATTAAATTTGTATCATTTCTCATGTTTTATCTATTATTTTTATACTCCCTTTAAAATAAATTTTAAAATAATGAAAAGGACTAGGAAAAGGTTTATTGAAAGGAAGAGTTAATGTTCAATTGTTTGATCAATCTTACATTCCTATATCTGTTAATCTGAGCAACAAATTTGATGATAATATGTAATATAACAACTATTGTTAATTTTCTGTTCCTATTTTGAAATTCTGTACCATTTTTGTTATTTTCCTTTTTTTGTCTTTGTTACTATTTGTTTTGGTTTGGTTTTTCTGCTTTAATATAAAATTTTAAAAATTAAAAAATGTAAATAAATAAATTATAATACTCTGAAATAGGATATTGAAGAGGATATCAGAAAATGAAGGGGCCAGGGAGATAGCTTAGTAGAATAAGCGCTTGCCTGGCAAGCGCAAGGGCCTGAATTCAATCCTCGGTTCTGCAAAAAAAAAAGGAAAAAATAACCTCTATTGTTGGATAAGGCAGAACCAAATATATTGATAATAGTCATATTTACAAAAACTGTTACACAGATTTTTTTGTTACAGTAATCAAACTCAGGATCTTACACAGTGAGTTCAAAGCCAACCTGCGCTACAAAGTGAGACCTTTTCTCAAAAAAAACAAAAATCAAAACAAACATACAATAACAAAATGAAGAAAGAAAAGAAAGAGAAAGGGAGAAAAGGAAAGGAAAGGATAGGATAGGACAGGACAGGATAGGATAAGAGGCCTGGAAGATTCAGTGAAGGACAAGTTGATAACCAAAGCAAGAATACTTGGAAGTTCACTGAACAAAAGCCTCATTATTTTGGCTGTTTATAAAATTATAATTAATGATGCTTGCAAAAGTACACTTGTTAAATAACCAAGTTCCACATCTAAGTCAAACTTTTTCATTTGCAACCCTGTAGGTTAACTTCAATTTGGCTTAACCATAATAATTTTTGTGTACAAAAGCCCCTTTGGGACTCCCTCCGAGGTTTAATTACATAAGGGCTTTTGCTTTCACTTTGCAATACTGTTTTCTGTTTTCCTTATACAATAAAACTGCTGTGGGGGCCAGGGAGATGGCTCAGTAGAATAAGCACTTGCCTGGCAAGCGCAAGGGCCTGAGATCAATTCCCCGTTCCGCAAACAAACAAACAAACAAACAAACTGCTGTGTTCAGTCCTTTTTCTTCTCTACCTTGTAATCCTTTATGCATCAAGAGAACCCACCAACCAGATGGTAACAGTCTGCTGTAGCTATGGAATTTGGACTTAACCCTTGAAGATTTTTTTAAAAGGATAATTCTTTTTCATAACTCAAAACAAAAAAAATTAAAAACAGAAGGGAAATGGCATTGATTGTTGAGTGCTTTAGAAAGATAACTAAGGGGATGTGGTGGACTGCCAACTGGTGGTCAACTTGTTACACCCAGCTGAACTGAACCTGCGTGGTGTTGGGTATATGAAGACCCTCCTGGGGTTTGCTGCTAGCAACATAAGAGGCAAAAGTAAAGAAGCTATTGCAAGGTCGTTATAAAAGCTGCTTGGAGAAGCTGTTGGGGAGCTGTTGGAAGCTACTGGTTCTCTTGATCTATTCTACTGGAGGGCCTTATTATGCTGGCTTTTCTGATGAACTTTACTGTTCTCATCAGAGGTGGAGCTCAGGACCTCAGAGCTCCGGTGTTCACTCTGAGCATTACTTCCTAGCTCTGGAGGGGAAGATGGTGCACAGCTAACTCTCCTAGAGAAACTTGTTGCATTGGCCTTCCTGATGGGAACTCCGCTTTCCTCATCACCAGAGAGCTTAGGACATCACTGTTGCTGAGGATGGCTGTGCAGGGGAGTTCTGATTCTTACCTTGAGGGTTGCTTCCTGGCTCCAGTTCAGATCCCTCAGTCTGCTCGCAAAGATCCTTCATCCCACTGGCACAGACTTTCTAACTTCCACCACTGACCTTTGGGCCTTCCCAGCACAAATCCTGAAGCAAGCCTGCATGAATGAGACATTGTCATGGGCTTTAAGGCTCAAGCTGAACTTGTGGGAGGCATTGTTATGAGTTCTAGGTTTTCAGCTGGACTCATACTGGATTCTTTGGTCTTAACATGTGGGCAGTTTACCCACATTTTTTGTATATGATTCTTTGGGTGACTATTAGAAAATAATTCTATAAACTATGTGTCCTGTATAGTATTGTTCCCTTGCTAAACCTTAAACCATGACAGGAGAAATTAGTTGCATTATATTTAAGGAGACAGCATCAAAGAAATCAGATGGGAAGCTTTTTCAATATCCTTGTAAGAAATGAGAACCTGAACAATGGCAACATCAGTGGAGTGAAAAGATGTAAGAATAATTAAGGCTTGGTGATAGATTAAATACAGAGACTGAGGAGGGGGAAGTTTAGATATCCAAGTGTTTTGCTGGGGCAAGTAGGTGGGTGGTGTTAACACAGAGAAGGATTAAACTATCCCTGTAAGGAGAAAACACAAGACAAGTTTTAGGTGACTTCACTATGCAAGTCTGTGAGAAAGCTTTTTTTTCTCTCTCTCTCTTTCTGACTTCCCCCTAATCTTTGGTACCAGGAATTCTACTCAGGACTCATGCTTGCCAGGCAGGCACTGTGCCCTGGAGCCAAATCCCCAGGTGTAAAACAAATTAATAAAGACTGATATTTAGTAGTAGTTATATGCTCAAGCCTGGAGATTATGGGAAGCAATCAGATTAGAGAAAGTGATTTGGTAAATCATCCTTATATAAATAGAAGCTAAAGGTTATTTGAATGAGGCATGCAGTTGAAGGAAAGGCCTTTGAACAGAATCATCAATTCTTCATGGTGTACACTCAAGAAATGAGCCTTGGAAACAGCCAAAAAGTCAAGGAAAATGGTGTCTGGTAGAGCCACTTAACAAAACTCAGTGTCTACAATAATCACCATGTTCAAGAGTCAACAAGTGTGGTGGCCGATAGGTACTTACGAAGCCTGAAGCAGCACAATCACAAATTTGAAGACAGTGTGGCCAACTGAATGAGACTCAGTTATTACAGGCAGCTAAAGTAAATTAAAATTTTAATATACATACAGGGCCTGGTTTTTCAAGGAAGTCTATAAAAAATAAAGATGTTAGAATTGTGGCTGAAGGTACATGTGTTGAAGGCCAGGGCTTCAAGATAAAGACACAACGATCTGGTCTACATGTCTCCCTGAGAGAAAACAATAACAAGATTACACTGTAAATGGTATCACCTAGTCCAGTATAGTCTGCATGGGCATCCGTCACCCATGTGGGTGACCTGGACATAACCCTTCCCCAAAATACCTTTGCTTTTCAAGTACCCTTGCTGCAGTTTTCTTAGTGGATCAATATTATCTAAGTGGTAATAACTGTAATCCCATAGGTTGATGGCAGTTTGGCCCACGTGTGTCTGCTGTATAAAGTATGCCTCACTGAAAACCCATTCAAGACCCCTCTTGTCTCTCAGGTGCTCTTTCACAATAAACTTTTCTTATTCTTAACCTTTGTTGTTCCTTGAAATTCATTCTCCAGTTTCAGGGAACACAAACAGCACATCTAGCAAATTTCTCCTGTATCACTGCCTCAAAGTACAGTTGGTGGGGATGTATCACAGGGTAGAGTACTTGTGTAGCATGTGTCACACTGAGTTCTGTAAAGAAGAACAAAACTGCTAGACCTGTAGTCTCCCTCTCCACCATGACTCTGCAGATTCCTTCTGCCCTCATCCTCACCCTCCGAAGGTCCCTAAGTCTCACTCCTCAGCACGGAGCCACAATCTAGATACCGCTCAGAAGCAGCTGCACAGGGCCTTTAGAAGTCTCCAGACTCTCATCCCCAACCTCCTATGCTCTTTTTAACATTTTCTTTGGGGGCGGGGGGGAGGCCGGAATCGGGGATTGAACTCAGGTCCTTGCATTTGTCAGGCAAGCACTTATTCTACTGAGCTATCTCCCTGGCCTCATACATTTTCCAGACAGTGAATCCCAAAGGGCAGCCGCTAATTCTGTGCCCCCATGCCCCTGTGGAAACATTTGCCTACGATGGAGGAATAAACTTGATGCAGACTTCTGTTTCTCACGTACCTCTAGTGAAATCCCCCTTTCTTTTCGTCTTAAACCTTTTTCAAGCCTCATCTACAATGGTAGGGCTAAAATTACACCCGAAAGAATCCTGCGGCAGGGAGGGCCCAGCAGCTACTAGAACCCCACCCCCACCCCGCCTGAGGCCAGCCCCGCGCCTGACGCCACCTCCGCTTAGGGCCCCGCCCCGCCGCAGCCTAGTTCTGCGCACGGTCTCGCTAGCCCTCCGGTGCGGACGCTTCTGTGAGGATGGCGCCCCAGGTAGCTCCGCGTGGGGTTGGGGGGTCGTGTCTTCTGCGGGAGGGCGCGGGCTGGGGTGGGGGCAGCTCTGCCACCGAGCTCGGCGGCCGCGGCGGTCCTCGCGGACCCCCAACCCCGTGCCCGCGCGGGCCTGCGGCCTCCGCTCTCCCGGGCCTTCGGCCGTGCCCGCTACGCGGAGTCCGGGACAGGCCGCGAAGGACGTGTTTAGGGAGACTCGGGTCACTTTCTGCAACAGTTTTGAGTTGTGACCTAAACAAATAGATTTATAGTGTCCTTCACTCCTTACGCAACACCTCGATTTATCATCCCCATTTTAGATTAAAAACAAGCTTAAATTGGCAGTCTTTAGTGGTTATAAGACAAGGTGGTCAGGATTCCAGCCGAATCGGACCCAGTGGGACGAAGTCTGAAAACCCTGTTAACAGAAGAGGCAGAAATACACCAGAAGTGACTAGGGGTAAAACGATCTAAAATGCTGAGGTTTAAAAGAAATAGTAAACTCTCTGTGATCTCTAATGTTTAACTACGTAGTTTCCTTATTGCCAAGAATCTCTACAGAAATTCAGACCGTGTAACCCCATGAGAGTTCAGAGGTTGAAGTTGGGCAGTTTCTTCTGGGATGTGGCTTTGTTTTTAGGAGTTCTCCGTGCAGGGAAAAGGTCAGGCTCTTGTTAAAGAGAAAGGGCATCAAATTTAGATTCTGTACGAATTAGAGTCCTTGGACTTCTAGTTTACAAGATTAAATTGTAAATTCTAAATTTGATCCTTTGGGATTTTTCTTTCAGGTCTGTGGTACACTGAGGTGAAAAGTCTAATAATGCAAATTAAAATCTAAATTTGAGAAAAATACTAGTGTGTTGTCATCCACCTTATTCCCAGTATCTAGTACTGTGCAACTTCTGGCCCTTCTCCAAAGTAAAAAACTAACTTATTTCATACATGCGGAGGGTTTATGTCTAGCCACAGTAGTGTTCAGTATTTTTCATTGAAATATTCATGCACTATATTTTTCACTCATGTATTTCACTGCTCCTTTTCCTCAAGTCTTCATTCACCACTTGCCATGGAAAACTTGGTAACTACTAGCTGATTTTGCAAAGTTGCACTGTGCCAACAAAAGGGAGTCCATATTCATCCTCATTCATCCTTCCTGATCACCCTGTATATGGGTATTTTATCACACCATTTGTAAATGCCTCTTTCTTGACTTCAAGACCAGGTTAAATGCAATGCTTTCCAAAAGCTACCAACCAACGGTCTCACTGCTGTTTGTTTCTCAATAAAATTATGGGGGAAAAAAAGCTATCAACCAATTACATGTTCCTTCATTTTTTGCTTTCTGTAGCACTTTGGACTGGGGGGGGGGGATTGTTTGTATTTTTCCTCTTTCTGTAGCACTTTGAACTAGTCACATGTTTTGTAATTACTGATTTTCAAGTTTGTTGCCTATAAACCCAGTGGTTTGCAACCTTTATTCTGTCAACCTATTTCAGGGGAGGTTTTTTTTGTTTTGTTTTTGGTGCCAAGGAACAAACCCAGAGCTTCCAGCTTGTTCTATCACTGAGCCAAATCCCCAGCCCTCAACTTACTTCATAAGCATTATGTGAACTGATCAAGATCTTCCTCTTCTCCTTGACTCTCTAGTAGGACAGGGGTATACTACCTCTAAGGATGCCATAGATACAAGTCAAGCATATAATTTTAAATTTTCTAGTCTAGTAAAGGACATGTGAAATTAAATTTAGTAGTACATTTAATTAATACAGAACATTAAGTTTTTTAAGGGATGTAAGGTTTTTTTGTTTTTGTTTTTTTGAGACAGTCTCTAGCTATATAGTTCAGCCAGGCCCTGAACTCACTATATAGCCCAGGCTGGCCTTGAATTTATAGCAATCCTCCTACCTTAGCTTTCAGTGCTAGAATTATAGGCATGCACCACCATGCCCAGCCTAAGTTTCCCTGTTTTGATATTGGTATTTTCTTTTCCACCAGCAGTTTGGGACTACACTAGTACTATTTAAACCTAAGCAAAAGACTTAATAGGGTATATAATAAATATAAAGATCCTAGTTCCAGGGCTGGCCAGATAGCTCAGCAGACTAAAGCATCTGCTTAGGCAGAGCTCAGAGGCTGGGTTTGATTCCAAGCATGCTGTGCTGGCCCTGCCCCTACGGCGACCGAGACTGGGTGTGGTGGTGCATGCCTATAATCCCAGTGCTTGGAGGGCTGAAAACAGGAGAATCAGTATGAGTCTGATCTATGTAGTGAGATCCTGTAGACCCTGTACTAAATACATTTTAAAAAAAGATTCTAGTACCTCAGCCAGACCAACTGAATCTGATTGTGTTGAGATCTGCATTTTTAACCTGTGCGTCTTTCAACATTGTAGAGCATCATTAAATATTTGATAAATAAAACTTTTTAGTAAAAAGAAGCTTTATTTCTGACCAGTTAGTCATGCCAATTAAGAATTTAAAGTTTATTATTTATGTAATTCTCCACATTAATTAGAGGTGTATTTCTTCAAATCTGTGATAAACTTTCTAAAATTGGAATTCATCAGTAACAAAAGATGATCATGGAGCAAATATTTGTTTAGAAGGGTAAATTACTTATTCTCTTTTTTTTCTCTGTTTTAGGTTATCAAATGCAAGGCTGCAGTTGCTTGGGAACCTGGAAAGCCTCTTTCCATAGAGGAGATTGAGGTAGCACCCCCAAAGGCTCATGAAGTTCGAATTAAGGTAATGGCATAGGGGGTAAGAAAAAAAAAAAAAAATAGAGGTCTCAGGATTGATGAGTAGGTCTGAGATCTGCAGAGGATAAACCTCAAGGGACAACTTCAAAGAGAAGGCTTTGGGAGTCATGCCACCTTAAATCAACCCCCCCTCCTCTAACCCCTCGCCTTTGCAGTAATTTTCTCCATGTCTTTGGTATTGGTGTTGGGTGATGCAGCCGTTTGCATAGATTACTGCAGTATAACTTTTGTAATTTGGGTTTAAAGGTTCTCCTATTTTGTTGATCCTATAAATACATGGTATCTTATTAGAAACAAAGTTTTGCTAGAGGGGACTTTAAGATTTAGAAAGAGCAAAGAACAAATAGATTTTTATGATTGCTTACTTAGAGTTTTAAATGTACTTGTGTCCAGTAGTCAGGGTCAAGATTGAGCAAATTTCATGATTTCCTTGCTTCTCAGCATCTGCTGTGCCCAGAGAAAGGCACATTGTATAAGACAGTCAGCTGAGAGATCTTTAAAGCCTTGTTAAGTGCAATTCCTTGTTTTTAGCATCCTACTCTTTTTGATATGTTAATACTTTAAAGTAGTGACCATTAAGTAATATTTTTTTCCTAACATTTCACATTTCCAGAAGAATCAACTGTCTTTTTGCCATCATTGTAAATATACTTTCCCTGCCATCCTACCTCCAAATCTACACAGCCTGGTTCACGTTCTAAAAGATAACATATCAAGTGGACAAACCTAGGATCAAATATTACTGAAGGTCTTTTTTGACCCAGATCTGGGAATCTGAAATTTCACATTTTGTGTGTTTTTCTTCAAGTTCAGAAATTAAGGCTGGGGAGATAGCTCAGTGAAATAAGGGCTTCCCTGGCAAGCGCGCAAAGGCCTGAGTTCAATCCCTGGTTCCCCCCCCAAAAAAAGAAAAGAAATTAAACTGATGTACTTTTGCCATGAAGATGATTTTTGTCCTGATATAATAAGATGAGCTATGTGCAGCCCACTTAGATCAGCTTTCATCCTTGGGGAACTTACTGGAATATAGCAGAGAGCAGTACCTTGTATATGGCTGTAGAGGCCAGAAGCAGAAGTATAAATACAGACACTAACAAGATTTGGCCTTCCAGTGCTTTTTGTGATTTGAAAGGGTACTTAATGGTCAGAGAGACAAGAATAAAGGAGTAGCTTGAGTGGACATTATGTGGTGTCAACTTCATGCTCTGAGTTTTGGCCCAGATGAGTGTACTTCAGAAATATTACCCTTGGGGCTGGGGAGATAGCTCAGTGGCAAGCTCCTGCCTGACAAGCGCAAAGTCTTGAGTTTGATTCCCAGTATCAAAAAGAAAAAGAAATAATGCCCTTTCTAGATATCACATTTCTCAATAGTTCATGAAGCCTCCAGTGAGATAGGATCTCTTTTGCACACAAATAATATTCCTCTCTACGCCTGAACACACAGTGTCAAAATGTTACCTTGTTTTCTTTCTTTTTCTGACATCAACCTAAAAAGAGAATAGATGGGCCTCTTTTCACTGTATATAATGCATCACAATACCACCAAAAATGCTACTAATTCTATAAAAATGCCATGGATTATATTTTCTATAAATATTTATTAATTTTAGAAAAGTTAAAATGTGAAAGAAATACATGTTAGAAGCACAAAATATTGTATTAAAGTAAAATGACACTACAGACCATACTCATTAGTGAAAAAATCATACCATGTATAAACATTGTATTGTCTTCCTAGTATAAGAACCTGAAAGAGTAAATAAAATCTGAAAAAGACAGTAGATAATGTAAAGTGGAAAGAAACTATTTAAAGAAAAGTAACAACTTGGATGAAGGAAAGGAGAAAAGAAAAAAAAGGAGGGAACAGAAATATCTATGTATATACACAGGATAGCTTGAATAATTGTACTGCTGATTTCTGCTGATTTACTGAAAGGAGCAGTAAATGCTTAGAAGTTTTTTCTTTTTAATTTCTTTTATAATACCAATTTTACATGCTTATATCTGGAAATCTAAACTAATTTGAAAACAATATGCAATATAACAGCCATTGTTGAATTCCTATCATTTTGTTTAGTAAAGTTCTGTATCATTTCTTTTTTTGCTTTTGCTTTTTTTTTTTTTTTTTTTTTTCAGAACCAGGGATTGAACTCAGGCCCTTGCACTTGCCAGGGAAGTGCTCATTCCACTGAGCCATCTCCCCAGCCCCTTTTACTATTTTTTTTATTCTCAAAAATTACTTTAAAAGTTAAAAAAAAAAAAAAAAAAAAGGCTGGGGAGATAGCTCAGTGGAATAAGTGCCTGCCTGGCAAGCTCAAGGTCCTGAGTTTGATCCCTGGTATCACCAAAAACAAAAGTTAAGTCTTGCTTTAACTTGGTCTAAACCATCCAGCAGAAAAGTATAACCATAAGGTATAAAAAGTAAAGCTATATACTGAGCTTTAAAAGGCTCAAGTCAACAACTTTTGATAATTGCCAGTTGTACTGATAACTCACTACTATTATGGACTATTGAACTATATTGAGTTATAAATCAAGTACCAATAATCTTTGGACTGGCATCAAGTATGAAAAGGTCCTTTAAAGACTTCTCCAAATATCGCATCTCTAACTGCAATGGAACACCCATCTGTGACAAAACAAAAAAGGAGGATATGTTGGCAGCCAAGGAAGGTAGGAAATTGATCAAATGTGTGTAGTTGGAACTAGGTCTCAGTGCCTAAAGCAAACAAGCTAGCTACCTCAGTCCTGAGATAAACATCCTGTCTGCTGGGGAGATGGCTCAGTAGAATAACTACTTCTCTGGCAAGCTCATGGGTCTGAGTTCAATCCCCAGTTCCGAAAAAAAAAACAAATCCCATCCCGTCTACTTAAGGTCAGCTATTAGTTGTTAGGCAACCTTTTATCATATATTACTAACTTTGAAAAGTATAAAGGACCGTTTTGTTGGGGGGGGGAATATATATATATATATATGTGTGTGTATTTATACACAAGATAGGATATACAGCTACTTTCTCTTAGTTTGAGAAGGTTTGTACTAACATTGTTTAGACAAAATATCATGTCTGCATCTTGTCCTCTCAATACTATGAAGACAATATGCAATATATTAATATTGTAACTGCCCTACTAACCTGTTTTGAAAACTGTTTCATTGATCTTTTTTCTCATTAAAATGAATAAAAAATAAATACAATTTTAAAAAATACTTCAGCAGATATTTCCAAGAGCTGAGAATGAATGAAAGAAAAATCCCTTGTTTGACTTTTACCCCCAAATTGTACCTGCACACACACTTAATGCGTTTTTAATTTCCTAATAGATTATTGCCACTGCAGTTTGCCATACTGATGCATATACCCTGAGTGGAGCTGATCCAGAGGGGTGTTTTCCAGTGATCTTGGGACATGAAGGTGCTGGGATTGTAGAAAGTGTTGGTGAAGGAGTTACTAAATTTAAGGCAGGTAAGGAGAGTAAAGCACTTGATGATTCTGGTTAATTACTGTAGGAAAATTACCTTCCTGATAAGTATACCACAGTTTATGAGTTATTAAAACCTAAAAAAACTGTCTGGATTGATTCACCCTCAGGAAAGCAGTAATATTTAGAATAGTGTTTTCCTCTCTGATTTTGCAGTATGTTCTTCATCTGAAACTTTTAAAGCTCATTTTGGCCAATTAACCAAGAATTTTTAGAGCTACATCAGTCAATTAGTATTTTGAAGCATATAATCTGTCTTCCAGTTAATCTTTTTAAGAGTTTTGTTTGAATAAAAATTTTGAAAACATACTTTTTGCACAGCTGGCCAGAGTCTGAATGATGTTGTGTGGGTAAAGTTTTAAACCTTCAGAGGGCCAGCCAGATAGCTCAGTGGACTAAAGCGCCTGCATACACTGACACAGGGACCAGGATTTGATCCCCAACATGCCATGCCGTGCTGGCCCCACCCCCAGGGCTTGCTGAGACAGTGATTGAGACTGGACATGGTGGTACGTGCCTGTAATCCCAGCACTTGGGAGGCTGAAAACAGTAGGATCACTACAAGTCTGATCTGTGTAGTGAGACCCTGTGGACCCTGTACTAAATACTAAAACCAGTAAAAATAAATAAACCTTTAAATTATTAATTCTGCGGAGCTCTATCAGCTAATAGGACTGAGAATTTGCAATCTTGTGTTAATTTAAAAACATGCCACATATTTAAGATGATATCTTTGCATTTGTTTCCCAGGTGATACTGTCATCCCACTTTACATACCACAATGTGGAGAATGCAAATTTTGTCTGAATCCAAAAACAAACCTTTGCCAGAAGATAAGGTTAGTATCTTCATATTACATTCTTAAAACAAGAAATATTAACAATACTAAGAAATTGTGTGGTAGTTCACACACAGTGTTTTACATAAATTATTTTATTCCATCTCCAGAGCAACCCATCACCATAGTAGTAGCATCATTTTTAAGGAAAAAATAAAGACTCAGAAATTAGAGTTTGCTCAGTATCATAAGACACTAATATGTCAAGCAGATTTTTATAAACTCATTGTTTCTATAATTGTAGCTGAATTTTCAAGGAAAGACAGGTTTAAAAGATTTAAATGAAATCATTTTTATGTGCCATGTTATTGTCCATAAAAGCAAAGTAACAAAATACCTCACAGGTTATTGGGAAGCCTGGAAGAGATGACTTACAACACAGAGAAGGTAGTTTTCTTTTTTAATTTTTTTAAAGAGTACCAAAAAAAAGAGAAAGTACAAAATAGTATTAAAAGAAAAAAAATAAGTGATACAGAATGTTACTTAACAAATATGAATTTTACAGTATTTGTTATAATACGTAGGGTTATCTTCCAACTAGTTATTACCAGATATATGCATGCACAACTGGAAAAAGAAAAAAAGACATGTATAAGAAATTTAAGAGGGGCCAGTGAGATCGCTCAGCGCACTTCAGCATGTGCTTAGGCAAGCAGGACCCTGGTTCAATCCCTGGCACCTTGCCGGGGAGTTGGCTCTCCCTGGCACCTTGCCGGGGACATGGCTCAGCAGAATAAGCACTTGCCTGGCAAGCACAAAGCACAAGTTCAAATCCCTGGTTCTGCCAAAAAAAAAAAAAAAAAAAAAATTTGAACTCAGACAAGCAAGCGCTTATTCTACTGAGCAATCTCCCTGGTGGGCTTAGCTGGCCACACACACACACACACACACACACACACACACACACAAATAAATAAAAAAAAAAAAAAAAAAAAAAAAAATCCCTGGCACCACATGCCATGCCAGCCCTGCCACCAGGGTGAGCTGAGTGAGCCAGAGTCCAGGCATAGTGGTGCATGCCTGTAATCCCTGCACTGGTGAGGCTAAAAGCAGGAGGATCACCACAAATCTGAGCTGCATAGTGAGACCCTGAAACAACCAAATACATTTTTTAAAAAAAGGAAATGAAAGAGAGAAAAAGTACAAACAGTTGAAAAAAGGACAAAAAACAAATTAAGCATCATCTGCTCCTTTCCATAGACCAGCAGAAATGCATAATACAGCTGTTCAAACCATCTTGCTTATATAATCTCTTTACCTCACTACCTCTCCTGTCCTTCTCAACTCAGTAAGTCTTTCCTTTTGAATAAGTTTGTTCCATTTTCCCAGTATCTGTTGTACCCCCTTCAGATTACATTTTTCTCTTTCAGGTTCTCACACTAAGGAGACAATATGATGTTTGCATATGCAGGTCTGATGTATTTCCCTTCAGAGTATGTTCTCTAGTTGCATCCATTTACCCAACACAAACCTCAGATTTATCCTGTTTTATAGCTGAGTAATACTCCATTGTATAAAAATACCACATCTTCATGTATTCTTCAGTTGATGGACATCTACAACAAATTGTGCTGCTTTAAACATGGGTGCACATACATAGCTGTGGTATATTTTCATTTCTTCTGGAAAAATACCCAGGAGTGGAATACTTAGGTCAAATGAAACCTCTACTCTTAGCTTTTTGAGGAATCTTCACACTGACTTCCATAGTGATTGTGCCAGACTGTATTCCCATGAACAGTGGAGAAAGGTTCCTTCTTCCTCACATCCCCTCCAGTATGATTGGCTGACTTCTTGATGAAACCCATTCTTTCTGGGGTGAGATGGAATCTCAGTGCTGTTTTAATTTGCATTTCTCAAATCACCAATGATGCTGAATATTTTTTCATATATTTACTTGTCATTCATATTTTTCATCTGAAAATATATATTCATCTCAGATGCCCTTTTTTCGGTTGGGTCTTTGAATTTGGTGGGGAGGCTTTTTTTTTTTAATGTATTTTAGTACAGGTTCTACAGGGTCTCACTACACAGATTGGACTCATAGTGATCCTCCTGTTTTCAGCCAAGCACTGGGGTTCCAGGTGAGCAACACCATGCACAGTCTCAATCAGTCTCAGCACACCCTGGAGGCAGGGCCAGCACAGCATGCCAGGGATTAAACCCCAGTCCCTGCATCTGCCTAAACAGGCACTTTAGGTGCTGAGCCATCTGGCCGGCCCTGGCCTCTTTTTTTTTTTTTTTTTTCTAATTCTTTATATGTTTTAGGCTGAAGTCCTTTGTCAAAGGGTTGACTATAATTTTTTTCCGGTTTGTGGGTTTTCCTTTTATTCTGTTGGAGATTTGAAGCAGAGAAAATTATTTTAAAAAGATGAGATCCCAGTTGTTGATTCTTTGATGTATTTCCTATGCAGTTTGTTTTTCATGAACTCTGAGAAGGTAGTTTATTTTGTCAGGTAATAGCACTTAACTGCTTCGAGGCATTTGACGTAGAAAAGGTACATATTTTATTGTAAGGCAATAGCACTTAAACTGCTATATTCCCTATAATGAATGTGATCATTATGTATAGCTAAAATGTACCAGTAATTTTTTTTAAAAAGTGCTTTGTAGCATTTTAAGATCCCCTTACCTTCCTTTTTTAATTGAGGTTGCACAAACATGTACTGTAATACGCTGTGTACAGGATATAAATCTTAAATGGGCAATTCAATGAATGTTTACATACTATAGATGATTGTGATGATTAGAATCTTAACCTGGATCAAGGTAAGAGATCCTGCACAGCACCCCTCAAAACCCCTCATGTCCCTGCCCAGACAACACTTGCATTCTTCAGAAATACCAACTATCCTGATGTCTTTCACTGCAGAACTTCCTATAAATCAAATCTGTGTGGGGCCGGGGAAGATGGCTCAGTAGGATAAGCACTTGACTGGCAAACGCAGGGATCCGAGTTCAATCCCCGGTTCCGCCAAAAAAAAAAATTATATCAGTGTGTGGACTTTTGTCATGTTTCTTTCATTCATAATGCCTGTGAGGTATGTCTAAGTTGTTTTGTGTAGCTGTTTTGTTGCCCTGTCATAGTCTAGGTACCACTGTTCATCCATTTTCCTGTTGGACAGTTAGGTTGCTCCCAGCTTGAGACTGTGATGACTAGAACTAGAGATATTCTTATGTTTATCTTATAATGGATATATACATTGCTGCCTCCTGGGTGTTTTTGAGGATTGGAACTGCTAAATTATGGGATACGTATCAATAATTTATAGTGCATGTGTTTACATTCCCAACGGCACTGTATGGAAATTTCCATTTATTCTTACATTTTCTAATATCAGTGATAAAATTAGTTTATATCTTAATGAAAAAAAAATCCATTTATTTTATAATGTAAATTCTATTGCTCTTGGCAAAACTAGAGCCAAAGAGAAAAATATCTAGTTAGTTTTAAAGGAAAATTTAAATACAATCTCTAAATTTGCATAGCAAATTAACTATATGATTGTGATAGAGGAAGTGGTTCTTTCACCTTTTGTCCAAGAAGCTCCTCTAGAACAGAGTGGGGGCCAGCAAGATAGCTCAGAGGCCTAAAGCACCTACTTAGGCAAGCTTAGACAGGTGCAGGGGACTTTGGTTTGAACCCCTGCACCACATGCCATGCCAGCTCTGCCCCCCCAAAAAAAGAATCGTTAATCTAGAATAGAGTGGGTTAATAAATTTAAACTGCTCCCATAAAGATACAGCAGTTGTGCTGGAAGATCTTATGTGCAGTTCTTTATCTTTGGTCATAATTTTTTTTCTCTCAAGAGAAACACTGAAATCTAGAAGCAGTCTTTTCTCATCTGTCTGTATGCATGTGTATATATGTGGGTTTATCTGAGAGTATATATCAAATTGCAGTGCTTTTTAATTAAAGGTGACATATTTACTAAATATTAACTCTGTGACAGGCATATAATTGTATTTTTATAGTAATCTAAAGAAAGATACTGTTGTTTTTCCACACTTTCTAGTGAAGAAAGGCACAAGTATTAACTTGCCCAGGGTCACTTAGGTTTTCAACCAAATGATCTAGATAATTTTAGAGCCTGTACTCGTACGTAAGATATTAAGTTCTCTGTTTTAGAATGTTACAAATAATTTTTGTTAACATTAATACATGCCTCTTTTGAGTTTTGGGGGATTTCTCTGTTGGTATAATTAACTGTACTGCAAAAGAAAAGGGAATATGAAATACATCTTGACTTCTTGAGGACTGTTAGAGCTTTTGAAGAACACTGAGTATCTAAATTACTCAGTTTAGCCATCTGTTTTCATCAGCTCATATGGATAATTCTTTGCAATTATGTAGATACTGGTTTGGGCTTCATCTTCTGTGACACTACATTTGCTCACAGTTGTTTGATGAAACTGTTTAAAATTTTCTATTATACTTATTAAAATGTGTTCAGAAATCAGATAATATGCTCTACAAAGATCAAAAGGGCAAGATTATACATTTTAGAAGTTTACCTCATAAGAACCTAACCTATTAATTGAATACATTAGAAATTACTCTTTTAAGTGTACTTTTTTGAATATTAGTCATTATTTTAAAAACTTCAATCTGCCCTTTTCTTATTGTTCTCAGAGTGACTCAGGGGAAAGGACTGATGCCAGATGGTAGTAGCAGATTTACTTGCAAAGGAAAGACCATTTTACATTATATGGGAACCAGCACATT